GGTTGTCACCACCTTTCCAGACAAAACCAAGTTACTTCTTACATATAATGATTGATGTCTCATGTCTTCCTAAAATGTATAAAACCAGGCTGTGACCCAACTACTTTGGGCACATGTTGTCAGGACTTCCTGAGGCTGTCCTCAACCTTGGAAAAATAAACTAAATAACTATTATATTATTTATTTTAGTTAAATAAATAACTAAAATAAATTAACTGAGACTTGTCTCAGATTTTCTGGGTTCACATGCTTGTACACTCAACACTTAGGGAGGCCAAGGCAAGAGGATCACTTGCACCCAGGAGTTTGAGGCCAACCTGGGCAACACAGGACCCCATCTCTACAAAAAAACAATTACAAATTAGCCATCCATGGTGGTACACACTTGCGGTCCTGGCTACTCATGAAGCTGAGGCAGGAGGATGGCTTGAGCACAGGAGGTCAAGGCTGCAGTGAGCTGTGTCTGTGCCGCTGCACTCTGGCCTGGGTGACAGAGTGAGACTCTGACACACACACACACACACACACACACACACACACACACACACACACAGCATGTAGTTAACCTGTGACAACACCAAAAACAGTGTTTCTTCTTCTTCCTCGCTCTTTCTGATATCTTTTTCATGCTCCTTCTTGGTCAAATCGAAAAAAAAAAAAAAAAAAAAAACCCTGATGGCAAAAGAGGCCAGAATCTATTAGTGAGTTCCACATATGTCAACCTCCCTGAGAAAACGGAGAGATGAAACTGTCAAGAAAAATTATGAGAGTGGGAGTGGAGTAGGTGGGGCAAATGGAAGACACACAGCATAGTGGATTCCCTTGCGAGCTTAAGGCCTGCTAGTTGGAATTTAAGGAAAAGAAAATAAGAATTTTAATAGAGCTATCCTTCTGTGAGAAACTGAGCTAACATACAAAATTTGACTGCTGTCAAATTGACTGACTCAAATCAAAGATCTTAACCAGTATCAAGCTTTCCTAATAATTTCAAAGATCTGCAGAGAAGGGAGGGAAATGGGGCTAGAGGAGAAGTGAAGAAGTTAAGAGGTTTCTGGAGGACTCTAAGAGAGGGATGATGGCAACTCCTTTTACTTGTCAGGATAGAATAGACTATGATGTGATAACAGTTGGTTTGCAAAACAAAGGTTTATTTCTTTCCCATGAAATGCCCACTCTATATCTGGAGGGCTGTCTAGGGCAGCTGCGCTCCATGTGGTTTAGGGCTTGCGATGGTTCATTTCCTGTGTCAACGTGACTGGGCTCAGGGGTGTCCAGATAGCTGGTAAAACATAATTTCTGGTTGTGTCAAGAGGCTCAGACAAACCAGAGGCAGGCTCGGGACATCAAGAGTGGACACCCCATTTAGCAGCATTACCCACCTGTTCTACTAGAAAATATAAAATAAAGAATGGACACCCCAGTTGTAGAAAATAAAAGTAAATAGAAGTTCCTCTTCAAAGCTATCTTCTTAGCTTATTAGGTGACTCATGCCTATAATCCCAGCACTTTGGGAGGCCAAGGCAGGTGGATCACGAGGTCAAGAGATCGAGACCCACCTGGTCAACATGCTGAAACCCCATCTTTACTAAAAATACAAAAATTAGCTGGGCATGGTGGTGCATGCCTGTAGTCCCAGCTACTCAGGAGGCTGAGGCGGGAGAATTGCTTAAACCCAGGAGGCAGAGGTAGTGGTGAGCCGAGATTGTGACATTGCACTCCAGCCTGGGTAACAAGAGCGAAACTCCGTCTCAAAATAAATAAATAAAATAAAATAAATAAAAATGAATAATAGCTTGTTCAAAGGTTGATTTACTCTAAAGTCTTTTGTTAATAATCCTAAGTAGCTGTTAGTTATAATAAAGAAGCAGGTATATTCTGTGTTCCTAGTTCTTATACTCTAGCCCAGATATTTGCCCTGACATGTCTGGACAAGCCCAGGCAGGCTTCATCCCACAGTTAATTTCTTTTCCTTATTTGGAAATGTTATTGCTTCTTTAAGTCTTTTGTAAAGGACTTCCTCTTTTCCTCTGTTCTCTCCTACCCTTTTAGGAAAAGTTCTGAGTTATTAGCCAATCAGTATAGTTTAGATTGTGAGGCCCAGCTCCAGCCAATGGAGGCAGGGCACAGAGGTAGAGGCCAGTCTGTAAGGGATAAATATGTCTGCCTTTCCCCTGTTCTTTGCACTCTTGTGGCAAACTGCTGGCAAGTGTACCCTTTCTGCAGAAAGTAATGTTGCCTTGCTGAGAGAAAATTTATTTTCAAGTACTTCTACTTCTGTGACACTGAAAACTTACATATAACACCAGTTGTGTCTTCCCACATTGCACATGGCCCAGGATAGAAGATAAGGTATCTATGTGAGTTCCATCAGCTTCCTCACACAGCAGAAACTTTGAAATTGTGAAACGTTTCCCTGTTAGACCCAGGGAGTTCCACAGCCTTTCAGCCATTCTCCAAGGAGTCCCACCTCCTGGATCTTGGCTTCCATTAACTTAAAGCAGGACCTCAGCCAGAGATCAGCCTGCTAGGGACACTCCATGGATGTGTCTCTTCCTCTAAGCAAATATCATTAGTCTGTTTACCCAAAGGCTCAACAGAGGCACAGGTTAAACCAGTTTACCTACCTTGGTTCTCCCCACGTCAATCTCCAGCACCCCCAGGGAAGGGAAGGAATGGATTAGAGGCAGCTGCTTTACTACTTCCTCCCATAAACACATTTCTAACATTAAAGAAGAGGGGTGTGTGTGTGTGTGTGTGTGTGTGTGTGTGTGTGTGTGTATGTGTGTGTGTGTGTGAGAGAGAGAGAGAGAGGGAGAAAGTGAGAATCACTGATTATTAGGAAAAGAAACAGAAAAACATGAAGGCAGGAATACCACTCACTGGCTCTTCCTTTTATAGGATTGGCATACGGAAAACAGCAATACCTCTTAATGAAACCACCTTTGACAATTATAACTGAAGAAATTATGGCATGAAAGAAATCAGACCTAACTAACTCCATGTTGCATCTAACCGTTAAGCTGTCCTTGTTCATTCCTGGGTGTAGGTTGAACTAACTTTTGGGAAGGAATGCAGTTCATAGTTTGACTCTGAAACAAAATTGCTAAGAGCTCTTTCCTGAAAGGACCCCCCTTCTTGCCTGGGACCAGTCTGCCTTTGCAGGACTAACAAATTAGCTACAGATTAGAAATTACAGTTTAGGGGTCATGCAGCCTCTGACTCCAAGAGTCTGAACCTCCTCTAATGACTCCTGGGGATACCATCCCTATTGTAAAACCTAAGATCAGCACTTGAGACATTTTTCAGACCTTACACTGGATGGGTTAGCTGGCACCTCCACCGCAGACCAGTAATCTGGATCAACCAGCTCTGCCATCCCACCCAAGAACAGAAGATGGCAACAAAAACACACTTTGACTCCCTATGATTCCATCTCCAACCTGACCATCAGCACTCCCCACTTTGCAAGCCCCTATCCACCAAATTATCTCTAAAAAGTTTGATCCCTGAATGCTCGGGGAGACTGATTTGAGTAATAAAACTCTGTTCTCCCAGCTGGGCACGGTGGCTCATGCCTGTAATCCCAGCATTTTAGGAGGCCAAGGTGGTTGGATCATGAGGTCAGGAGATCGAGACCATCCTGGCCAAAAATGGTGAAAACCCCTCTCTATTAAAAATACAAAAATTAGCTGGGCGTGGTGGTATGTGCCTGTAATCCCAGCTACTCAGGAGGCTGACGCAGGAGAATCACTTGAACCACGGAATCAAAGGTTGCAATGAGCCAAGGTCCAACCCGGGGAGACTGAGACTTCATCTAAGAGGAAAAGGAAAAAAAAAAAAAACAAAACACCTTGGTCTCCCACAGTCAACTCTGTGTGAATTATTCTTTCTCCACTAGAATTCTCCTCTCTTGACAAATCGGTTCTATTTAGGCAGCAGGCAAGGTGAACTCCCCTGGGCAGTTACATTATCCTGAACCATCTTCAAATTTTGTCAGGCAAGCATCAAGCAAGATGAAATTCAGGTTACTTTCCTTTCAGAGGGTCAAAGGCATAACCTCAAGTCCCTGCCCGACACACACATACACATCCCCTTTGTCCAGCACCCTTAGACTGGGCACCTTCCTGGAACAATCAACACAGTGCTTCTCACATCAGTCTCAGGCCACCAATGCCTCTTCCATGTAGATGAGGCATGGAGCGCTTGCGTTTCCTTTTCCCCAGGTTGAAGGAGATGATGCAGCAAACCCTCTAAAATCCAGGACTGTCAGCCGCGTTGGGGAAGCTGAGGGAGTGGCACAGCTGAGACTGGGGGTAAATCATTCACCTGCTAAAATCGTAAGCACAATTTTGTCCAAGTGTGTATTTTTCTAGGATAGCATTCAGAATACGTATCAGATTCTTGACAGGATTGAGGGCCTATAAATGAGTAGCCAGTAAAACTACATGGTGTTTTGGGGAGTGGTTTGGTTGATTTTGGAGACACAGTCTCGGTCTGTCACCCAAGCTGGGTGCAGTGGAGCAATCATAGCTCACTGCAGCCTTGAACTCCTGGATTTAAATGATCCTCCTGCCTCCGCCTCTTGAGTAGCTGGGATTACAGGCACATGCCACCTGATTTTGATTATCTTTTGTAGAGATGGGGTCTTACTATGTTGCTAAGCCTGTTCTCAAACTCCTGGCCTCAAGCAATCCTCTAGCCTCTGCCTCCCAAAGCACTGGGATTGTAGGCATGAGCCACTGTACCTGGCCCCTATGTGTTATTTTTAACAAGTGCGGATCCAGGGACAAGTCAGTTGAGTCCCACTGCCAGGGTCTGGTCCTGGTGCATACTGTTTGGCCCTGGTCCATCCTGCTTACCGACAGGATCTTCAGAGCCCAAAGGTAAACCTGAGAGTGAACACGGTCTCATATTCCAAATGACTTCAGAGACACTGTCAAACATTCTGAATATAAAACCCTTATTGTAAAAGGAAATTAAATGTGAAGAGTAGAACTTACCCTTTCGTTTTGTTAGAGAAAGACTCAAGGCCATATTGCAGATTTTTGCATTTCTCCGTCAGTTGGAGCGACTTCTCATTCAGATATGTGCTGTTTCATGAAAGAGATTTTTAAAAAGATTGATTTAAAATGAGAGCTTATAAGATATTGTTAACAAAAATCAGATTTAATTGATAAAGTGTGTCCGAATGAAGTCTGATTTTTACACCATTATTGGATTTCTCCATGGAAAAGGAAATTAATATTTTCACTTCTGATGGGTCTAAATGAAAAAAAAAAAAAAAAAAAACCTTACACTCTAAAGTTAAACATAAAAGAACTCTATTTTGAGGACTTTATACTGACAGGTTTTCATACTCTGAGGTTAGTTGTTACAATCAACAAGTTATTCAATAGTTATAATCACTGTGTGTTTATTTTTAAAAGATGTTTTCTTTGGTAGAAAACATGCAGACATAAGCAGTCATTAATCCTTTCCAGAATAAACACGAATCTGACCTTTGATTATTATAATAGCTGCAATAGAAGGGCCTGGTGCTATTTGTTTTGTAAACTTTGAAAACTGGAAGTGGAACCAAAAAAAAATCCAAAGTCAGACTAAGGACATGGGTTACAAAGTTCGCCTGTCTATCAGCCTCATGGACATACACAGGTTATTTAACCAGCTCCAGCGCAGCTCCAGGTGTAGACTCCCATATCTCTAAATCAAGGATAACTGTGCTTATCTCATAGTATTACTGTTACTGTGCCAAGTAGCAATGTAAAGCACTTGTAATGTGCGTCACACATACTAAGTGCTCAGAAAAATTAACTATCTCTTTCCAAGACTTAAAAATATATATATGAGGCTGGGCACAATGATTCACGCCTGTAATCCCAGCACTTTGGGAAGCCAAGGCAGGCGGATCATAAGGCCAGGAGTTTGGAACCAGCCTGGCTAACATGGTGAAACCCCATCTCTACTAAAATACAAAAATTAGGCATGCTAGCGGATGCTTGTAATCCCAGCTACTTTGGGAGGCTGAGGCAGGAGAATCGCTTGAAGCTGGGAGGCAGAGGTTGCAGTGAGCCGAGACCACACCATTGCACTCCAGCCTGGGTGCTACAGTGAGACTCTGCCTCACAAAATAAAAAAAAAAAAAAAATATATATATATATATATATACACACACACACACACACACACACACACACACACACGCACACACACACATATACAACTCTAACTTGCTGTTAATGCATTTATTTAATGAAGATATTTATGGGCAGCATAATATGGGTTGGGCCATACACAGGTTATTTAGGACAGAGAGGAAGAGAAAATAGACATGGTCTCATTCCCTAGCCGAGCTTGCACTCTGATTAAGGAGAAAGATAAAAATAACCACACAAAGCAAGATGGAATTATGAACTGTGATTGGTTATGGCCATAGTATATGGCTTGGAAGAGGTGGTCTCTACTCACACTGAGGGGTCAAAGGAGGCCTCCAACGAAGTATCATTCAGGTGGAGACACTCAAGGATGATCCAAACAAAGTGCGTAGAGCATTTGAGGCAAAGAAAAAAGTGTGTGCAGGCCAGGCACACTGCCTCACACCTCTAGTCCAGCACTTCAGGAAGCTGAGGCAGGTGAATCACTTGAGCCCAGGAGTCCAAGACTGCAGTGAGCCATGATCGGGCCACTGTACTCCAGCCTGGGTGACAGAGTAAGACCCTGTCTCAAAAAAAAAAAGTGCAATGGTTCTAAAATGGGGAGCAGCCTCGAATATCTGAAGAACTGAAAAGATAAAAGGATTCAAGGCTGAAGAGCCATGGGGTGATTGCAGAGAAATGAGGGGAAATGGGGCAAGAGAGGAAATGAAAAATTAAGAGGTTTCTGCTGGACTCTAGGAGAGAGAGCAATGGCAACTCCTTTTACTTGTCAGGATAGAATAGACTATGATAACAAACAAGTCAAGCTCTCAGTTGCTTTATAAAACGAAGGTTTTTTTTCTTGCCCATGAAACAGCCACTGCATGTCTGGGGGCCATCTAGGGCACCTGCGCTCCATGTAGATTAGAGCTTGTGATGGTTCATTTACTGTGGCAACTTGATTGGGCTCAGGGGTGCCCAGATAACTGGTAAAACATGATTTCTGGGTGTGTCTGTGAAGGTGTTTCTGGAAGAGATGAGCATTTGAATCAGTAGACTGAGTAAAGACTGCCCTCATCAACGGGGGTGGGTAGCAGCCAAGCTGCTGAGCACTTGGATAGAACAAAAAAGCAGAGGAAGGGTGTGTTCACTCTGTCTTCTTGAGCTGGGACATCTTCTCCTGCCCTTAGGCAGTGGTGATCCCGGTTCTAGGGCCTTCATATTCAGACTGGGACTCACACTGTTGGCCCCCTGGTTTCCATCAAAATCTCCTCCACCTTTGGGCTTAGACTGAACTACACCACGGGCTTTCCTGGGGCTCCAGCTTGAAGGCGGCAGGTTATGAGGACTTCTCCGCCTCCCCTAATTATGGGAGTTAATTCCTCGTAATCAATCTCCTACTATCTACTCTATTGGTTCTGTTTTCCTAGAGAACTCTGACTAACATAGGGATCCAAATTGCTTCAGTCTTGTGGCACCTTCATTTCAATAACCTGCTTCCATAATTGCTGTGGCAGGAGAAGAACCTGCTGGAAGTTCTTGCCCTGAATACAAATGTTTTGAGTCAGAAGTACAATGCATCATTAGCCAGAACTGGTCACCCGCCCCACCTAATTGCAATGTGGGAGTCAGAAATGAGCCACCTTCCTGTGTCTCCAGAGAGGAGATCGGACACAGGTGTGACTGGAGACCTCACCACACACTGTGTCCATCGGCAGGAAGAGAAGCGGACAGATTTGAGATCTAAAGGCAAGACTGACAGGACTTCATAGGAGATTGGATGTGGGAAGTGAAGGATAGGAAGGCAAAAAGGTAAAGATATAAACAAGACAGATTCATAATTAATTCTCCAATATTTCTCAGAAATGCTTTCTGAAAACACTGCCTGCACAGTACACATGGGCTCACAAAAGTCCCTCTCAATCCTGATAGGATTTCTCTTCCCCACAACTTCCTTCCCCCCTCCCTCTAGTACAGTCTCCAAGCATCACCCTCTGTGCTTTCTGTATGTATTATCATACTGTCCAAGGATTTGTTTATTTCCAGTTTGCCATGTATTTTATGCAGGCAGGACCATTAATGAAGTGAATTACCAAGCCAGCAATGCTTTGAATTATGATGGTGTTGCAACATTGAATTGTGAAACTGTGACTGGTAGGCACCTATAGGATTGTGTGTCCTATGTCTCTCCTTAGAGTATATTTTATTTTATTTTATCTTATTTTATTTTTTTGAGACGGAGTCTTGCTTTGTCGCCCAGGCTGGAGTGCAGTGGCACGCTTTCGGCTCACTGCAACCTCCTCCTCCTGGGTTCAAGCGATTCTTCTGTCTCAGTCTCCCATTGTTTTAAAGATGGAGTTTGGCTCTTGTTGTCCAGGCTGGAGTGCCATGGTGTGATCTTGGCTCACGGCAACCTCTGCCTCCTGGATTCAAGCAGTTCTCCTGCCTCAGCCTCCCGAGAGCTGGGATTTCAGGCATACGTCACCATGCCTAGCTAATTTTGTATTTTTAGTAGAGACAGGGTTTATCCATGTTGGTCAGGCTGGTCTCCAACTCCTGACCTCAGGTGATCTGCCCACCTCAGCCTCCCAAAGTGCTGGGATTACAGGCGTCAGCCACTGCACCCAGCAAATCAGAGAGTATCTTTTTAAATACAAACTCAGAACAGGTTTAGTGTGGCAATCTAAAATCACAAAAGATACATGGGAACAAATGAGAGGATCTGGAGTAGAAGTGGAGGTGACAGGATGAAGTCCTGGGGACAAAATCGGTCTTGGGAGTCAGCAGGGCCAGTCTCTAAATCTGGGCTCCACTCTCTGACCTTAGCTTTCGAGCTTTGGGCGCGGTGGTTAATCCCAGCACTTTGGGAGGCCGAGGCAGGTGGATCACGAGGTCAAGAGATCGAGACCATCCTGGCCAACATAGTGAAACCCCGTCTTTACTAAAGGTACAAAAAATTAGCTGGACGTGGTGGTGTGTGCCTGTTGTCCCAGCTACTCGGGAAGCTGAGGCAGGAGAACTGCTTGAAACCGGAAATAAATGGAAGATTCCGTGAGCCGGGATCATGCCACTACACTCCAGCCTGGCGAAAAAAAAAAAAAAAAAAAACCTCACCCAATAAAGAAATTTTAGGAATTGACTGGGATGTGTATAAAAACACCTGACAAGCTGAAGTCAGTAAATAAATGTGTTCTCATTCTCTCAAAGTCATCGGATTATTTTCTCAAATCAGTCATTATTTCCATAGAGGTAGGATGCATCTCACACCAGTAGGAAGTTATCACCGGTAATGAAAGAAGGAAGCCCTTTTAGTTATCTTTGCCTCTGTACATTCCCTGTCCTCTCCTTTTCATTCCAAGAGTCTTCAGAGTTTTCTTCCTTTTTCATCTAACGTCATTCAAACTTGCTCTGGAAACAGACCCTCTCAATTCTGGGATAAGAACTACCTGTGAGCAGATCCCATCTGAGAGGTTGGTGCCCGCCACACATGAAGACGTTGGGTTGAGTCCTCTTTAACTGCTGATTGGGGACATCTCTCAGACAAGTCATAGGGGATAGAGAGAAACTGATCAAGGTGAAGGTAGGAATTGCAAAGACTCTGAACCAGAAACAACGTGGTGGGACAAGAGATGGCTGCAAGACAAATGTGGGCTGATCTGTAAGCCCAGGAAGTGCTACTGGGTGATACGGTTTGTGTCCCCACCCAAATCTCATCTTGAGTTGTAGCTCCCATAATTCCCATGCATTATGGGAAGAACTCTGTCAGAAATATTTGAATCATGGAGGCAGTTTCCATACTGTTCTCATGGTACAGAATAAGTCTGATAGTTTTATAAGGGGAAACCCCATTCACTCTCATTCTCTCTTTTGTCTGCCGCTTTGTAAGACATGCCTTTTGCCTTCTGCCATGATTGTAAGGCCTGCCCAGCCATGTGGAACTGTGAGTCCATTAAATGCCT